TAGATTTCACCCCCCTCCTACTGCAGTGGATTTTGCGCTAGCTCCAAATTCATCCCTGCTTGAAATCCATGCTGTATTTTTTAGGGGAGGTGCTCAGTAATGTCTACTGGAACCGAATTGAAGATTTCATCTTGTCAAGTCAGGCTAAGCTTCATCTGCCAGAAACGTTGGAATTCCTATTTTGTTATCCAACTCACTCATTGTCCTTCTTAGCTTTTTTTTTTTCCCTTCATTCCCGACACCTCCCTAAGGAATGTCTTTTTAAATATTATTTTAATTAATTTATTTACTTATTTATTTGGCCGTGCTGCACAGCTTTTGGGCTCTTAGTTTCCCCAACCAGGGATCAAACCCAGGCCCCCTGCAGTGGAAGTGCGGAGTCCTAACCACTGGACCGCCAGGGAAGTCCCTGTCCTTCTTAGCACTGAATAATACTTATTTGCCTAGACACATCCCGTCTCCCATATCCTCTCCCATTAAACTGTGAGCTCTTTGAAGACAGGGACTGTCTTAGTACAGAGCGAGGCACTTAGGAGGTGCTCAAAACATGTTTGCTCAGTAATTAGTGAATGAATGAATGATATTACTTTCCTTCTTGATCAAAGGGAGACGTGGATGAAGATAGATAGAGCTTGGCCAAAGAGGTCTCTTCTCTGCTTACCACCTTTCAAATTCACTGAAGAGAGGGGACAGAAAAGGGAGAAAAAGCAGTGGGTGATCCAGAGATAAGCTTTATCTTTCCTTACAGTATTCTGATCCTACTTGCCTTGTGTGTCTAGCAGGAAATTCTGGAGGGTTTCTGGACTTGGATGGTGACTCTTCCACTTGTATGATGCAGGTTGAGCCCTATTTTTACATTTTCTCATCATTTTAGTTGGAATTGGGGATGAGCAGTCAGATGTGTAATTTCAGCCCGGCATCCTTCTCTGGGATGCCTCCTCTGACCCCCGTTTACAATGGCAAGCTGTCCCCCTTGGACTCCACACCCTCTACACACATCCCCTGCTTTACTTTTTCTCTGTAGCTCATATCTATCTGACGTACTACAGATTTTCTGATTTTGTTAGTTTACTCTTTGTCTCCCTGTATCAGTCAGGAGGTAGAAAGAACATAAGCTATTTAAAGGAAAAATTTAACATAAAGAGCTGTTATCTAGTAGAAGGTGGTTAATGACTAAAAGGTGTAAAAGAAGAGGTTTCATGAAGGGATGCAGAAGAAGCAGGTGCAGAAAAGCAGCTACTACCTCTGGGCGGGGGCAGGGAGTGGACAGGAAGGAACTGAGGACCCAGGGGGACATCCCCCAGCCCCCTTTCTGTCCCCATCCCAAGGCTGTGGTTCAGAACTTTTCCAGTAGGGTGTGGCTACCTAGGACTGCTACATAATACGCAGACTCAGGGCAAAACGAAAATACAAGGCTCTTTGTTCCAAAGTTATTAAGAATTTCAACACAGTGGCAGCAGAACATGAAATCAATCAAATGCAGGGCTTTCCTGAGTGCCAGGGCCCACGGCTGACTGCGGAATTGTGCAGCTCTGTGGCTACTGCAGGAATGCATAGCCTGCTGGTGGCAAAGAAATTTGCCGGAAGGTATGGGCTGGCCTGGATCTGTGGAAGCTGGCTGCTGTGGCCTGAGGGTGTGGACTGGCCTGGGCCCCGCTGCTGTGCAGAAATGGGCTGGTGGAGTGGGGAGAGCGTGGCTTAAGGAGAGAGCCAGGTCTTGATAGTTCACCGATTTTCAGTGTTATAGAAACCGTAGCTTCATACCCTTGTCACAAAGATATATTTTCAAGTTAGAACAATACCACATTCTATTTACTCGTGTGTTATCTGGATTTATAATCTTGAACATCTCTAAACAATACATGTACTCTTACTCCCAGTCCTACAAATGTCTGTGGTGATTCCAGAGGGGAGAAAAGAGAAGGACCAGCCCCCTGGAAAGGGCGACACGAGATAAGATTGAAGATGCAAAGAGACAAATTAGTGTGAGGCGGAGGAAAGACTTCTTCTTTTTTAACTTTTTAATTTTATTTAATTTAGTTTTTTATACAGCAGGTTCTTATTATCTATTTTATACATATCAGTGTATATATGTCAACCCAATCTCCCAATTCATCCCACCACCACCCCCCTCCGCCGCTTTCCCCCCTTGGTGTCCATACGTTTGTTCTCTACATCTGTGTCTCTATTTCTGCCCCACAAACCGGTTCATCTGTACCATTTTTCTAGGTTCCACATATATGCGTTAATATACGATATTTGTTCTTCTCTTTCTGACTTACTTCATTCTGTATGACAATCTCTAGATCCATCCACGTCTCTACAAATGACCCAATTTCATTCCTTTTTATGGCTGAGTAATGTTCCATTGTATATATGTACCACATCTTCTTTACCCATTCGTCTGTTGATGAGCGTTTAGGTTGCTTCCATGACCTGGCTATTGTAAATAGTGCTGCAATGAACAATGGGGTGCATGTGTCTTTTTGAATTATGGTTTTCTTTGCGTATATGCCCAGGAGTGGGATTGCTGGGTCATATGGTAATTCTATTTTTAGTTTTTTAAGGAACCTTCATACTGTTCTCCATAGTGGCTGTATCAATTTAGATTCCCATCAACCGTGCAAGAGGGTTGCCTTTTCTCCACACCCTCTCCAGCATTTGTTGTTTGTAGATTTTCTGATGATGCCCATTCTCACTGTGTGAGGTAATACCTCATTGTAGTTTTGATTTGCATTTCTCTAATAATTAGTGAGGTTGAGCAGCTTTTCATGTGCCTATTGACCATCTGTATGTCTTCTTTGGAGAAATGTCTGTTTAGATCTTCAGCCCATTTTTGGATTGGGTTGTTTCGTTTTTTTTAATATTGAGCTGCATGAGCTGTTTATATATTTTGGAGATTAATCCTTTGTCCAATGATTCATTAGCAAATATTTTCTCCCATTCTGAGGGCTATCTTTTTGTCTTGTTTATGGTTTCCTTTGCTGTGCAAAAGCTTTGAAGTTTCATTAGGTCCCAATTGTTTATTTTTGTTTTTATTTCCATTACTCTACGAGGTGGATCAAAAAAGATCTCGCTGTGATTTATGTCAAAGAGTGTTCTTCCTATGTTTTCCTCTAAGAGTTTTATAGTGTCCAGTCTTACATTTATGTCTCTAATCCATTTTGAGTTTATTTTTGTGTACGGTGTTAGGGAGTGTTCTCATTTCATTCTTTTACATGTAGCTGTCCAGTTTTCCCAGCACCACTTATTGAAGAGACTGTCTTTTCTCCATTGTATATCCTTGCGGAGACTTTTTTTTTTTATTGTGGAAAAGTAGACATAAACGTGAAATTTACCATCTTAACCATTTTGAAGTGTGTAGTTCAAAAGTGCTAAATGTCTTCACATTGTTGTGCCATCCATCTCCAGAACTTTTTCTTTTTGCAAAACTGAAGCTTGGTACCCATCTCCCATTTCCCCTCCCCTCAGCCTCCTTCACCCAGCCGTCTACTTTCTGTTTCTGTGAATGTGACCACTCTAAATACCACCTATAAGTGGAATCATACAGTATTTTATCTTTTGTGACTGGCTTTTTTCACTTAGCATAGTGTCTTCAAGGTTCATCCATATTGTAGCATGTGTCACAATTTCCTTCCTTTTTAAGGCTGAACAATATTCCCTTGTTTGTACATACCACATTTTGTTTATGCATTCATCTGCTGACGGATACTTGGGTTACTTCCACATTTTAGCTACCGGGAATAAGGCTGCAATGGGCCTAAGCGTACAGATATCTCTTTGAGGCTCTGCTTTCAGTTCTGTGGGGTATATGCTCAGAAGTTGGATTGTTGCATCATACAGTAGCTCTATTTTTAACGTTTTGAGGAACCACCACACTGGTTTTTTATAAGGGCGGCACCATTTCGCATTCCCGTCAACGATGCACAAAGGTTCCATTTTCTCCAAATCTTCAACAACACTTGTTATTTTCTGGGTTTTTGGTTTTGTTTTGATAGTAGCCATCTTGGTGGGTGTGCGGTGGTATGTCACTGTGGTTTTGAAAACTCCTCTTGTTTTGAAATAGGAGGGAAGGAGGGCAGGATGAGTGAAGAGGCAGAGCTAATGTGGAGTAAATCACAGGGACGCTGAGGTAGCTCATAGCTGATCTCCATTTGGTCCACCATCTTGGTGGCGAGAGAGAGAGGAAGGTGTGGACCAGGTAAAGGCTGGTGGGGACTGGCCAGGGTTAAAATAGGAGCCAGTGGCGGGGATGAGACAGGTGAGTCAGCTGGTGATGATTATAAAGATAAAGTGAGCAGTTGTGGGGTTCCATCTGAGGTCAGGAGGGCCCAATGGGCCCAATCCCAGTTCTGTGACTGTCTCCAGCAGCCCAGAAGAAGGGAAGGTGCAAACAGACTTGGTGGGGCTGCCTGGACCGGTGGCTGAAAATCCCCTTCTTGTTTGTGATGGGTGGACGTGGGCTGGCAGAGAGGTGGAGCTGGAGACACAGCCATGCTTGCCTTGGGTGTTTGGTGTGGAAATGGCTATTGGAGTTGGAAGAATAAAGAAATTGTGAGACGAGGGTGTTAGAAGTGCCAGTGAGAACCACGCTTCCTTGTCTTGTGATCAGGGATCTAGGAAAAAAAAAACAAAACCTGGGTAGAGGGCCTTCCACAGAAAGTCAGGTTTCCTTATGTAAGACATTGGGAAGAGTTTGTTTAAGGAGACGTTCAGGGACTTCCCTGGTGGCGCAGTGGTTAAGAATCCGCCTGCCAGTGCAGGGGATAAGGGTTCGAGCCCTGGTCCGGGAAGATCCCACATGCCCAACGAAGCCCGTGCACCACCACTACTGAGCCTGCACTCTAGAGCCCGAGAGCCACAGCTGCTGAGCCCGCATGCCACAACTCCTGAAGCCCACGCGCTTAGAGCCCGTGCTGCGAAGCGAGAGAAGCCACCGCAGTGAGAAGCCCACGCACCTCAACGGAGAGTAGCCCCCGCTCGCTGCAACTAGAGAAAGCCCGTGCGCAACAACGAAGACCCAACGTAGACAAAAATAAATAAATAAAATAAATAAATTTATTTAAAAAAAAAAAAGTTCAGCAACAGAGGAAAATATAGTGGAAATGAGGCTCCCCAGAGCAAGGATGATCAAAGTGTGATGCTGCCAGGACCAACAACATCAGCTGCATCTGGAATCTTGGGAGAAATGCAAATTCTCTGTCCCACCCAGGCCCACTGCATCAGAAACTCTGGGGCTGAGGCCCAGTAATCTGTGTTTTAATAAGCCCTCCATGTGATTTCGATACATGCTCAAGTTTGCATCCTATATCCCAAGATATAGTATAATATCCTAGTAGAGGGTCAGACAGGGTAAAGTGAAGACGAGAAGGAGTAGAACAGAAGTGCATTCAAACTGAGAGCTTGAGAGGAGGAAACAGAAGTCAGGGACATCAGGTGGCAGCAACCACAGCCCGTAGAGCCACAAAGCCCAGGAGGCTGGGAGATTGGTTGGAGGTGGCACAGCGGGGAGGCCAGAGAAGGCTGTTTTATTGGCTGGATTTGGAAGAATGAGTAGAATTAGTCAGACCCAAGATTCCAATGGCAGTGAAAATCCACAGGTGAGAAGGCTCAACCAGGATTCCCAAGTCCTGGACCACTTACGGGTTATGAGACCTTGGACACGTCATTCACTTGCTTAAGCTCCTCTTTCCTCAAAGGCAAAATGGAGATCATATTCCCACTTAATTAGGGTCGTTGTGAGGATTAAATGAAATAATCCAGAGGAAGGGCTAAGCACGGGCCTGGCATGTAATAAGAGTTGATAAAAGTCATGCTTTATAAAGGAACTTCTTGTTTGGTAGGAGAAGGTAAATCGAGAGAGAAATGAGATCTCTATAAATGCCTTTCCTAACCACACCCTACCCTACACATACATGTTGGACAATTAATGTTCACTGATAATTAGTCTCACCTTCACTTTTGTCACGTGCTCAGTAGTTGTTCAGTCATCATCATTTTCTTCATATCGGTACCATCATAAAAGTGTCTTTGGATAGGAAACTAGTGGTCGGGGCTGTGCCTTCTTAGGACTTAGCTCGCTCGGCCTCGAGTCCAGCACAGCTCCCACGGCTGCAGCCTTTAGGAGGCGCTTTAGAAATTAACAAGCCCCGACTTTTCTCGTTCACACAGGGAAACCGAGGCAGGCCCAGGGGATGTGGCTTGCCCGACACAGATGGTGGCATAAAGATGATGAGTAATGCGGCATCTGCTTCCCCAGTTAACCTCTCAGAGGCCGGGGAGACAGGTAGAGACAGGTGTCGCCAACCCTCAGGGCCCAGCCTAGTGCAGTGAAAATTTCCCCGATACACAGAGGGTGTCAGGTCAGGCTCAAATGTGGCCCCCCGGGAACCAACCTCACTGTAAAGGACCTGTGTGTACAGCTGGATTCCTGCTCCCCTGCTGGGGAAGAGCCTGGCCTCCTGACCTGCCAGGCTGTTGCTTGTTATGTTTCTAAACAGTATATTCCAACCCTGCTTCCTCAACCAGGAGCCTGCTGCAATTCTTCCTCTGCTTCGGGACTTAGGTCTAGAGGTTTATGTTTCTTCCTGGCCTATCCTTTAATATAATGATGATAATTGAAGACATAATTTAAGAAGGTTAAGGAGAATATTTACCACACCCTACCATTGCTTCATTTTTGGGTACATCCCCTTCCGTGTGTATAGATCATTTTACATTTTTGCAGTCGTGGCACACCTCGGTCCATAAGAGCAGTGAGTGTACATCTACTGTGGCTCCCATTAATTACTTGGTGCTTGGTACACGTAGCATGTGGTCAATAAAGGATTATTGAATGAACACCATTCTATAATATGCTGCTTCCATTTAGCATAATAAGGATATTTCCCTATTTTCCATAGTATGAATCATTGTAATTTTTAATGGTTGCCTAATAGCATGGAATAGTAATGTATTCAAGGTTTCCTATCATTAGAATTTTGACTCTTTGCTTTGTCGTTGTTGTTTTTACTGTTACAATTGTATTGTAAAAAATTTCATGCATATTTTATTTAACTTCTTTGGAATTAGTTTCAAATTAAAAATTCCCAGGAAGAGTATGATTGCATTACGGAGGTTTGGATAACTTCATGATTCAATGAGTCATTTCTTAAGGGGACCATGCTTCCTGGTAGAGACAATCCATTTGTGCCCTCTCAACAGTGCGTACTCATGTATCTATTTCCAGAGTGTGTCCTAGTCAATGATGAGAGGCACGGAAGCCATCCCCAAGAGCCCCTTAATTCAGAGCTCTGCTGAGGAGTCTGAAGACATTCATCGGAGGCTCACTTGGTGGGACAGAGTAGATCTTTCGGTTTCTGAGTAATAAAATAGATTATTAATAGACAGGGTGCTTTTCCCACAGGTCCTGAAACAAAAGTCTCTCAAGGCAACACAGCTCCGGGTGGCCCTTGCTTTGACGCGGAGTGAGACTTTGAGATCGCAAAACCCAAAACAGGCCTGTATGAGCTTTTCTTTCTCCTCTAACAAGTCCCTATAAATTTAGTGGCTTAAAACACTGCAGATTATCTTACAGCTCTGCAGAAGCCTGACATGGTCCTTGCTGGGCTGAAATCCACAGGGCTGCCTCCTTGTCTGCAGACTCTACGGGAAAATCCTTTTCCTCGCCTTTGCCACCTTCTACAGGTTGCCCACATTCCTTGGTTCGGGCATGGCCTCCTTTCTCCATCTCTAAAGCCAGCAACATCACATCTCTCTCAGGTCCTTCTCCCCTTGTCATCTCTCTCTCTCTCTGACCGTAGGCTGGAAAGGTTCTCTGCTTTTTATTTTTCTTTTAAGAGTTGATAGTGATTTTATTCTGCTACAAGCCACTTTCTGTAAATTTGACTCTTATCCCCATTGTGACACTTATGTCACTGGCAAAATTATTTCCATGTTATCCATCTGCTTTTAAAGAGCTAATGTGATTAGACTGGGCCTGCCTGGATAATTCAGGAGAATCTCCCCAATCCCAAGGTCCTTAACCTTAATCACATCTGTGAAGTCTCTTTGGCCATGCAAGGATGAAAGGTAACGTATTCACAGGTTTTGGGGATTAAGAGGTGGACACTTTGGGAGGGAGGGATGATTCTGCTGACCGCGAGATCTAAAATGGACATCTATTTTTAAATTAAAAATATATGCATTCACAGAACATATTCGTTATTCTGAATATGAATTCAGAATACATACACATTACATATGCTCATACACATTATTCATTCACTTGTATAATGAATGCTTAAATTGGGTGAATCAAGTACAAAAGTGTGAGCTCGGAGAACTCTTCATCACCCAGTGGTACTCAGAGAAAATCCTCTGGGATGCCTCTCCCTCACCTCCGACACCAAGGTTAAGCCCGCATCTCTGGACCACTGAAACCGCCAGTCTCCCTTCCTGTCCAGATCCAGGCTCTGCACAACTGCCTGTCCTGTTGGGGGGGGGGGGGGAGGGGGGGGATACCAGTCAAAGTGAAGGGGCAGGGGAGCATGAGGGAGACCCTGAAGGTGGCCCAGTGCCTTGAGAGCCTGCTGAGGATGTCCCTGTTTTCAAAGCTCTGTTTATGGGAATTCCTTTCGCAAAAACAGCATTTTCTTCCTTGGTGGTCGTCATCCTTTTGCCTTCCCAAGCTGCTGCATTCTCCCCACCTGGATCTTATGTTTAGGAAAAGTTCCCCTGGAGAGGCTCTCTGATGAATGACCCTGCCAACAGGTGGGGTGTGTGTGTGTGTAGCTGAAAGACTGGATTAGCTGAGGTTTTTTTTTTTTTTCCATTTGTAACTAACATGAATGGAAATACAAGGGAGGGTGTAGAAGGGCGTTCCAATTTCGTTCCAGAAAGCCTGGAAGGTGAAGGTGTGAGCTGAGAGAGGGCTCTGAGTTCAGGGATATGCATCTGATGGCAAGCGGGCAGCAGATGAATTTCTTTGGGGATGCTACGGTGGTTCTGGACCCACCTGTTAGAGCGAACTCGGAATCTGAGCTGTACAGGGATCCTAATGCTAGGTTGGTCCCAGAGCCTTTTCGGAGCCCTAGAGTGAGGCTTCCGACTCACCACTAGATGGCGCCCGTGCTGTGGCTCACCGCCGCCGCGCGGGAAGAGGGGCCGGAACCGGGTGGGTCTGAGGCTCCTCTGAGGAGCTGGGTGATCACTGGGCTGCAAAGGGTCGCTCACGGAGATCCACCTGGTAAGACACAGCCACTCCTGTTCCTGCATCGCTGAATTTCACTTTAGTATCCCCCAGGACTAACCTAGGCAGTTTTTGCTCTATTCTGTGGATCCCATCATAGATTGAAAAATGGTCTTTTTGTTCCTGGGGCTCCAGAGAGAAAAATGAAAATTGAAAACCTGTTTGTTTAGTAATCATATTTTATTTGTTTATGGACAACACTGAGCCAGAGTGACTTGGGTTTAAGTTTTGGCTCTCATTTTCTGGACAGTCCTTTCTGGGCCTGTTTTCTTACATGTAAAAGGAAAATAGCCATCCCTGCCTGATGGGGGTGTCTACGAGTCACATGCGACGAGGATGCAGTGTGTCTAGCACAGCGCCCAATGCTTAGTAGGCACTTTGCAGGGGGCCAACCCCACTCACCTTAAGACCCCCTCAGCTATCTCAGTGCCTGGGGTGTAGACAGTAGGCGTTGTGAGCAAGTGAAAAAACTAGCTCACGATTAGGGTTTACTCACCTTGACTTTACTCCACGAACCTCCTATCACTGAAATATGAAGTTTTGTCCAGGGTTCAGAAGATTATATCGCAAAACTCCCGCCTGCAGATTCTAGCAATCTGATTAAAGGAGACAAGGGTAACCAAAACACATTTAAGAGAGGACACAGAAGCTAATAAATGAAAAATGATTCCAAATGTATGATACAGACTGGCTATAATTAAATTTGTAGTTCCTCCAACAGGGCTCCGTTTCTCAAATTCTGGCGTTCATGCTAGTTTACATCTGCATTGTTTGTCAGATCCCAGATATTTTGCTGGGAAAGAAGAGGCCTCATTCTGCAGCAGGGATGTTATGTCTAGAAGGCAGACCTGCCTGGGAATCCAGGAGGTGTCATGAGAGCGGCAGGTTCCTGGGGATGGGATGGAGGTGCCTGGAGACAGAAAAAAGGAGTAAGAAAAGGGAAGTGGCAGGGTATCAGAGGCAACATTTAGCCACTGTACTATTTGATGATTTCCTTCCGAGTATGAATCAAGTCATAGAGTTTAAATCTGGAAGCTACCTTAAAAATGTTCTGGCTAGATCTCCAAAATAGGAGGCCTTATATAATCTCTCTGACTAGGAGCATTCAAATCACCGCTTAAACACTTTTAGGGACAGGGAACTCACTGCCTTGGAAGAAAACAACTTTTTAAAAAAAATTTAATTATTTTTTATACAGCAGGTTCTTGTTAGTTATCTATTTTATACATATTAGTGTATATATGTCAATCCCAATCTCCCAATTATCCCACCTCCACACACACCCCGCCCCGCTTTCCCTCCTTGGTGTCCATACGTTTGTTCTCTACATCTGTGTCTCTATTTCTGCCTTGCAAACCAGTTCATCTGTACCATTTTTCTAGATTCCACATATATGTATTAATATACGATATTTGTTTTTCTCTTTCTTACTTCACTTTGTATGACAGTCTCTAGGTCCGTCCACATCTCTACAAATGACCCAGTTTTGTTCCTTTTTATGGCCGAGTAATATTCCATTGTATATATGTACCACATCTTCTTTATCCGTTCGTCTGTCGATGGGCATTTAGGTGGCTTCTGTGACCTGGCTATTGTAAATAGTGCTGCAACAAACATTGGGGTGCACGTGTCTTTTATAAAGCCACTTCTTCATTAGACAGTTCTACTTGTAATTATTAGCTCAAAACTTTCCTCCAGCTTTTACACATTGGTGCTGATTCTGCTCTGGAGCCGCGTAGATTACGTCTCCTCCCTCTTCCAGAGGTCGGTTCTTCAAACTGCCAAGAGCCGCTGTCAATCACATGGTCCTTAACTTTTTCTCCCCAAACTTGCCCACATCCTTCAGACATTTGCAAATGACCCCTCGCGTCTCCTAGACCACAAACTATATGGTGCTGAAGGAGTGAGCCATCGCGGGGAAACCATCTTGTGCCTTGGCTTCCCCCGCTACGCCGTGACACAGCACTAGATGGCGCCATGGCCAAGGCCCCATTCTGGTGCTCTGGGTATTCAGGACGAACATGAAGATTGCCCACTTCCTCTAAGAGTTATCAGTGCCAACCTCATCATGCCTCATATCCTTGTTTTCCTCAGCGACCACCAGCATCCAAAATCCCAGCCTCTGCAGTTATTCAACATCGCCTTGACCCTCATCCCCATCCTGCTCTGTATGTACCCAACGTGGACATTGTATGTTTGCCCAGCCGGTACTCTGCCCTCCTGCTCTTGATGACAGCATCACAGTTTTCCTCCGAAGAACCATTCCATTACTTGCCAACGTGAGGTTCTGTCCACCAGGGGCGGGCAGTGCACCCAGGACCATGGCCACTTAGAGAGACCACCACACTAACCACAGTGGATGGGTCAGGTTGGGATTTCACTGGGGTGGAAGGGAAGAAGCAGGCACTGAGGACCATATCCACCTCTAGCTGTTGGGCAGCCATCTGATGTTGGGTGGGGAGAGGCTGCCTGAGAGTACAGCCAAGAGAGAGGAGAGAGGAGCAGAGAGATGGAAAGGGAGCCCCACACTCACCTAAGACAGCAAACCTAGTCAATAAATGCTGAGTGTGTTTTGACTGCTCCACCGACTGGCTGTTCCCCCATCTCTCTTTCTTCTCTTCTCCTTCTTCTCCTTCTTCTTCTTCCTCTTCCTCTTCTTCTCCTTCTTCTCCCTCTTCTCCTTCTTCTTCTTCCTCTTCTTCTTTTTCTCCTTCTTCTCCTTCTCCTTCTTCCTCTTCTTCTCCTTCTTCTCCCTCTTCTCCTTCTTCTTCTTCTTCCTCTTCTTCTTCTTTTTCTCCTTCTTCTCCTTCTCCTTCTTCTTCTTCTTCTTCTTCTTCTTTTTTTTTTTTTTTTGCGGTACGTGGGCCTCTCACTGTTGTGGCCTCTCCCGTTGCGGAGCACAGGCTCCAGACGCGCAGGCTCAGCGGCCACGGCTCACGGGCGCAGCCGCTCTGCAGCATGTGGGATCTTCCCGGACCAGGGCACGAACCCGTGTCCCCTGCATCGGCAGGCGGACTCTCAACCACCGTGCCACCAGGGAAGCCCAGTAATAAAGTATTTTTAATTAAAGTGTGTACCTTTTTTTTAGACAATATTGTTGCACACTTAGACTACAGTAGTGTATAAATACTGTACACTATACAGTTTACATACTGTATCAACACAACTTTTATACACCCTGGAAACCAGAAAATTCATGTGACTTGCAATATTCACTTTATTGAAGTGGTCTGGAACGGAATCCGTAATATCTCTGAGGTAAGCCTGTATATGAGCAAATAAATTCTCTTTACTTCTGCTTAATCTGGTTTGAGTTGGATCTCTGACATTTGCAGCTGAAAAGTCATAATATAATCCCTAACCTGACTCACCCTCCCACCTCTCCTTTCTGTGGGGACATTTCATTGCGCCCTTTAGGAACACATGTTGAGTGGTCAGCACATTCCCCTGTATTCTCACCTCTTCCCTGAATGCACCTCCCAGCTCCTTTCATTGGGTGAAATCTGGTGCTCCCTCGGGTCCCTGGTCCCCCTAAACACCCACAGTGCTCTCAGAAGACAGTTGAGGGGCTTCCTTGGTGGCAAAGTGGTTAAGAATCTGCCTGCCAATGCAGGGGACACGGGTTTGAGCCCTGGTCCGGGAAGATCCCACATGCTGCGGAGCAACTAAGCCCGTGCACCACAACTACTGAGGCCCACGTGCCTAGAGCCCATGCTGCTCAAGAAGAGAAGCCACCGCAATGAGAAACCCACTCACCGCAACTAAGAGTAGCCCCCGCTCGCCACAACTAGAGAAGGCCTGCGCGCAGCAATGAAGACACGACACGGCCAAAAATAAAAAGAAATTAAAAAAGAAGACAGTTGATTTCCCCCCCTCCCCTTCAGGTAGCTCAGGGCATGAAGTGACTAGGAGCCCTCCTTGCTCTCTGTTGCCGTTTTAAAACCGCTTCTCTTCCTTCTACTTCAAACTCTTCAGTTCTTTGAAGCTCGGTCTCCACCTGTCGTAACTGCTGTGCCTGACAACCTGCTGGTCACTGCCGCGCACTCACTGGGACTTCAGCCACAGGCTCGTGGACCTTCTCTTTGGTCCCCTCCTGGCCACCATTCTCTCAGCAACCTCAGCATCCATGTGAATGATTCTTCCAACTCATGGGTCTCCAACACCACAGCCACCTGAGACCTCCTAATCACCGGGAATCAGAACACATCCCAAACCTCAGATTCATATCCCACCTTCTATCATCTTTTATCCTTACTGCTCGCTTCCTGTCGTACCTCCAGTCAAAAATTCTTTGACCTTCTCACTGCCAGTTCATGTGATCTGCATATTCTGGGTCTTACGGACCATCATGATAGTCACGCCCCTCAAAATCCCCTAAATCCCTTTATCTGTCTTGTTTTCTATTATCCTTATCATGCTGTATTTTTATATTGATGATTCATTTACACTGGGAACTGTGTTTCCCAGAATCCCTTTCTCTGAATCGTCCAGGGTTCGAGTTGGCCAAAAGCAAAGTCGTGGAAGATTGGGGAGGCAGAGGGGAACAGCGGTCATAACACCCTGAAGGTGTTGTTTAGAGTCAGACACAGAAGTGCCGGAGGTTCTCTCTGGGTCTCTCTTCCCAACTGCTGGCCCTGCTGCCCAACAGTGACCCCAAGCCCACCCCGGACACTTTGGTGTGAACTCACAGAGGCAGTAGCCACGGGGAACCACCAACCGTGCATGGACTTCTGTCCTAGCGCCCTTTGTGATCCTGTTGCCGCAGCTGGATGTGACTAGCTTACAGCATTCCTGCAAATCCCTATTTGTTCACCAGTGCCAGAGCTGGTTAGTGGCTTTTCTCTGATCTTTCAGCTCCAAATTTGGACTTTTCTTTCCCAGCTCCTCCTATGATTGTGTAAGGTCTAATTACTATAATAAGCTCCTATCCCACAATGTTTACTTAGCTCAGTCCTAACGGCCCACTTTCTTCGAGCTTGCCCCAAAGAGGCTGAATGTTGCTAGAGAAAACACACAGTCCTACTGACCGGTTTCACTTGAATTCATGACCACATGGTAGTCCTCTGGTTTTTGTCTGTCCAGGATCCTTTCCCTCTTCTTTGGGTAATAACGTCACAGATTTGCTGGATGAAGTATCCCTCACGGAATACGGTCTTGGTGACACTTTCAATCACATGCTCATTTCAACGTGGGGGGATGGAACTTATTCATCCCAACAGCTGCATTCTAGAACTGCCGTCCATGTATTCCTGCTCTAGAGATCCCCAGGGCTAAGCTAGTCCCTGGTACTCTGGTCCTTCGGCTTTTCCTACAGCCATGTGAACTCCCTCCATTCTTCCAATAGATTTGTTACTTAACGTAGCCAGAGCCGATGGCTGAGGCTCGCACAGACCTCAGATGAGCACTCTACTTGGCCCAGCAATCCTGCTACGTTCCCCCAGACAACGTGAATTCTCACTTTCCAAGGCAGTTATTCCATATCTTTCCTCTCTTCCCAAATCTGCGTTCTGGTCCACCCAACTTTGGTCTCATACTTTGTTAGGGAAGTGGAAGCATTTGACATCTTCCCATCACCAAGTCTACAAACCTACCGGGAGTTGAACTCATATCTTCTGTTTTCTTTCCAGTCACAATGCTGCCTTCATAAGCATTTTAAATCTCTCTGCTCCAATCAAAGGTCAAGTCCTCCACCTGTGCTCTGGACCCATCTCCATGGCCATCTCAAAGATTATATGCCTGAGTTTATCAACCTTCCCTCTCTCCTGACCATCACTTTCCCTTCCTCTATTGGATCCTTCCCATCAGCACATAATTGTGTCCTAATACCTCCCATCTTTTAAAATACAGTTGACCCTTGAACAACATGGGGGTTAGGGGTGTGGACCATCTTTGCATTAAAAAATCTGAGTATAACTTAAGATCCGTGCTTGGTATCCTCTGTTCCTCCATATCTGTGGTTCCACATGCACGTTGGATTCAACCAACTGTGGATTGTTGAAAATATTTCCTATTGAAAAGTAACCTGTATAATTGGACCCGCACAGTTCAAACCCATGTTGTTCAAGGGTCAACTGCATATCCTTCCTTGACTCTATGTATATATCATTCCATTCTCTGCTCCCGGTTCATGGCAAAACTTGTGGGTTTCCATTTTCAGCACTCCGGAGAAAGCTGCTCTTGTGTTCTGGTAACAGATGACATCCATCTTGCCGAATTTTGTGGTTACTTCTCTGTTCTCATCTTCCTTTTCCTCCCAGCGGCCTCCACGAAGTCAACCTTTCCCCTCCGTTTCTGTGACCCCCCAAACTCTTGATTTTCCTCTACCTCACTAATTGCTCTTGAGATTATATCCAGCTCTTCACCCTCCCCCCTTTCTTTCAATGTTTATCATACTATAATTATCTTGCTTATTTTTTTTTATATACTAGCTTATTCTCAGTCTTTTTTAACATTCACAACAATGTAAATTTCTTTGAGACAGGAATTTAGTTTTTGTTGTCTGTACTGTTCAATGGGCACATAGTACGTACTCAATAAATGTCTTTTGAAAGATAATCATGACATGTTTCCCAGACCTTTTATCATCCAGGTCACCTTTCTCCCAGTGCCCTCAAGTTGGTCACTATTCCTCTAAAAATATGGCCCCGTTTGGAGGCCCATATGAGCATAATTACTTTGGACCCTGACAAAGATTCACTCCTTGATCTAATTCTAGTCTGGCTCCTCTGAACCCTCTTCTCAACCAGGCCCTGACCTGTGGGCTTCCGTGTTCATCTCTGCTTAGTCTAGTTTTAGCAAGGATTCTGCCGTGTCAGTTTAGTGACAGTCCCCCATCCTTGATTTCTGAGCAAATTCCTTATCTCCCCACACTCAATATCTTACCACCCTGGTCTGCCTTTAGCAAAAATTTTGTAGAGTTGGTTTAGCCAGAATCCCCCTTACCCCTGATGTTCCTTCTTAGTAATTTTCCATCCTCTGACCCTGCTCCTTGGCTATAAATCTCCACTTGTTGTGTTCAGAGTTGAGCCCAATCTCTCTCCCCCTCACTACAAAACCCCACTGTATTAGTCCCCATTACATAAAGTCTGCCTTATCACCTTTAACACGTATCATGAAAAAAAAAAAAAATAACAACCCTACAGTTCTATTAATACAGCCAAAAATCACTGCAGGTCTTGGGCAGCCATATCCAAGGCTGTCCATTGAAGGACATGTAAATAGTGCCCCCTGGAGTTGTGCAACTTGGTGGTTCCCTGTATTATTACATTGTTGACCAGCACTAAGTGGGGGGAGTTAACTGCATTTTCAATTTTTTTTTTCATAGACATGCTATTAGGTCATTTTCCCTCCTTTCTGGGTATAGTTTTTTCTGTCCTTTTTTTTTTTTTTTTAATTTCTTGGATAGAAAGGAAATCTTCATACTTCTTCCTAGTAGGAGGAGTTTTAGTCCATCCTTGAGATCCACTGAGTTTGGAATCTTGCTTTTGTCATTCAGCAT